AAAATCAATAAAATGTTTTTACTGAACAGGTATAGAAACAACGACAACAACTTCAGCTACGACAAGCTATTAATGTCGCTCATTAATGCTGCTCAATGAATTTTACGAGCCCTTTGGAGCTGTTGTTGTGCTGGCCACAACTTGTCGTCGCATGGAAATTTGTCGCAGACAGCGCCCAAAAGGTTTCAGTCTTGTGCATTTTAAACAGCAGCAACAACAACAATAACAACAACAACAACAGTGACAGCAACATGGTCAAGTCTAGGCAAAAATGGGGGCCCCGCTCCTCCAGCCATGGCCGCGATTTGTGAAGGCATGAAAATCGTCATTAATATTTGTCACTGGACATTGCAACTGCACATATAAATTAAATAGAACCTGGTCCCCTTTTGGCCAGCTGCTGTTACCAAAATGAATGTGCTCTAAACACGCGCTTTTTACAGCATTTCTGACTGTGGGGCTGCGTGCCTGGCCACATTTTCACATATTGTCTGAGCGAAAATAGAAGGGTTAGAAAATGCAACCCTTTCGGGGCGCAGCTCAGCTTTTCGGGCTCAGTGCAAATTATGCCTTTGCATATTAAATAGATTTATGTTATTTTTTTTATTTATTTTTAACCCGTTCGTTTGCCTAAAGCTGAGACCAGGGTCGCCCTAACGAGTGGCAGAACGCAGGCCTTAATCATCTGCGACCCGCGCACAGACTCCACGCTCGTACACACACTCTCTCGCTGTCTCACTTTCTCTCTCTCTCTCTCTCTGACTGCTGCTGCTCGCTGTTTTGTGGCTTGTGTGAGCCTGTTTCATTATATTATTGGCACGCCCAGTTTTGCGGCTGCGGCTGCGCTTCATATCGTTAATTTTTAATTGATCTGCGCTGCGGCACAATGTTGCAGTTCGTCAGCTTGTGCCCCAAGCAGCATCAGCAGCAGCAACAGCAGGACACATGTAGCCCGCTGCTCGCTCCCAGCCTCAGCCACAGCCACAGCCTCGCCCCTTAGCCTCTTGCTGGCCAGTTCAAGTGCATTTTAATGGCATTAGGCTGCCCACTTGATGAAATGAGCGCACTCTTAACAAGATCCTAGCGCCCCACAAAATATAAAAAAGGAGCATAACAAGTGAACATATTGCTCTGGCCTCTGGCCGAGCCACAGCGAAAATGTCCGGGCGACTTAATGCGCTCGATTGCGTATACGCCCCGTTTGCCGAACGTGCATTGAACTTTTACTTTGGCTCAGTTGTTGATGTTGTTAATGTTGTTGCCGTTGTTGCCTTTTGCTTTAGATTTGATACGTTTTGCTGCTGCTGCTGTTGCTGCTGTTGTTGTTGTAGTTTTATCGATCGCTTTGACTTTGACTTTCATTTGGCGCGCATTTTGGTAACTTGATTTATACGTGAAGCGTCTGCGCCTTGCATTTAATTTTTGGCGTAACTGCCTCCAGAATTGTTGCCCCGTTTATTGTTGCTCTTCGCTTGGGTTTTTTAATTCGCGTTATGCGCGAAATTCCCACGCCAAAGGGCTGCCAATTCAATTCGATCCAGTTCTCGTTTCGAGCGTCTATCGCACATATGGCGCACACACAAAACGCTCTCAGCAAAAATGTGTTAATTAGAATTTCGGTTGGTTTTTGTTTTCCTTTTTTTTGAGCTTTTGATAAGCATAGCACACAAGCTACCCCATACTCCCCCGACAACAACAAAAACATGCAAAACTGTCGAGTCAGCATTTGTCAATCACTTGACGCCAGTTAATTTTATTGATGATTCTCGCTCAGCTAGTTGGTTGTTGTTGTTGTGGCACAGTGGGATGCCTAACATTTGAAACACCGATCGGAACACAAGACATGTATAGTTACTTTGTATGGCAACACACCGATGCTCGATTGCTCTGCCCAACACGTTGCGTTAAATAAAAACTATTTGAAATGCTTTTTAAAAAACGTTAAATTTTTTGCTGATTTTTCTGCAATATTTTTGATGAAAATTTGCAAGGCCGAAATTCAATTTTTTTTTATTAATATCTGGTTTTACAGACTTTACGCTTGTAATCTGATTTTATTTAAAAATTATTTATCCAGACAACAACCAAGTTACCAAATCTGTCTTATTTGAAAATCCAAGTTTTTCGCTTAAAAAATTTCTGGGATTCTAAAATATTCCAAATTTTCCCTTCTATATCTCTCTGCCACTTCTTTGTTTAATCCATTTTTTATATATATTTTATTTACAAGTTAATTTCTGAAGGGCTTTTTTTATTAAAATATATCTGCTGCTGCGGGCTGCTTAAGACAAGTCTTTTATGAGAGACCGCATATTTTAACTGTCAGCATATTAAATTATTACCTGCCTTTTTATTATGTATTTAGTTTTCTTCAAATAAATCTATGACTAAGTTAGGGCATTCCAAATTGAAATTGATGTATTTAATGGCCGTTAAATGGCGGCTAATGTAAAGTGTTGTTGTTGTTGTTTTTGGCGTTGAAATACGCCTTTGATAAATAATTAATTAAGCAGCTTTGTGGGCACTTAAATAATACATTTATAAATGATTGTGTCAAGTGTTGATGGGTTTATTGTTACAGCGCCGGCAAACAGCAACAAAAACAGCAACAACTGCAGCCACAAAGCTGCAAATGGCAATTGCAAGTTGTTGTCTTTGCATTCAAATGATATAAGGCAACGTAATAAGCATAAAAATAAAAAATTTTGCAGCGCTTAACAACAATTTATATATATACGAATGAACAGCAACGGCAACAACAACAATAACAAGAACAACAGCCAACGTTTTGTTCAATTTATTGTGTGAAAACTCGCATAAATTAAAAATAAAAACAAAACAAAACAAAACAAAAAAAAACGACTGCGGCATAAATATTATGCAAAATGCAAGCAACGCCCGTGCCCACAACCCTGGGCCTACTCCGCCAGCCCCTCAGGGGCTTGACTAACACATGTCGTTTATATTTATATTTATATTTATATAAGTCACGATTGCGTTGTTGTTGCTGCTGTTCGCTGAGATGCGCCCGGCAGTTGCTGACCTTAACAGCTGTGTTCCTAAGCATTTAACATGCATTTGCAATTAGCCATAGTCAGAATAGCCTTAAAGCCAGCTACGAATGTGACAAATCCATACTGAAGGCTGGCTAGCCAATTGGGGCTTGGCCTGGACTTGCCACAGAGCCTGCGGCAGCGAGTGGCGCACACAACATTTGTGGCCTTATAATTAAATGCAATTATTGAAACGCCAGCGGGCCAAGTGGGCAGCCAAAAAATAAGAAACAACAATGAAAAAGAGCAACAACAACAACTGCAAACATATGTAAGCGAAGGCGACTGAATTGTTGTTGTTGTTGTTGCTGCTGCCGCTGCTGCTTGGTTTGCGGGCTAAAATACATAAATTAAAAATTTGCATTGTTCTGTTTCAGCAAGAACAGCAACAACAAAGCACAATTTTTGCGCTGCTCAAAGTTACGACTTGTTGACTGTTTTCATACAATTCGGAAATTTAATTAAAGGCGGCCGAGCAGACAATGAGATGCGCAAGTCGCAGTTGCCGTCGCAGTCGCAGTTGCAGTGGGGCAGGTGCAGTTGCAGTTGCAGATACCATTGGCCAGTGGCCAGCGTTGTATGCAAAACGCAGAGTCAGAGCAGTCAACACAGTCTTGACCCTCTTGCAAAATCAATACAATTGCCACCCAGCGCGAATTGAAAGCGAGTCTCCAGTCAATTTTGTTGGCAAAACAATTGAATTGCATTTCAGCCGCAGGCGATGTGGCCGGCCCTTCAAAAAGGACATTGATGGGCAGCATCCTGTGGCATCGGGCGACTCGGCCAGCCCGCATACACCAGTCGCTGCCATAAGTCGAGCGTTAGGGCACATAAATATTAATTTGTTGCATATTTTGTCAACGAGAAATCAACAAACACTTCGTGCCACCACAAACAGGCAAACGCAACGTTCGCCTCCAGCTGTGAATTTCTTGGGAATTCCCTGCGTTTGCCCGCGCTGCCACGTCAGTAGTATGTGCTGCTGCTTCTTCTTATTTGATTTGTTTTTTTTTTATCCAATAATGGTTTATTTATGTTAATGTTATGCAATCAAAATGCATACGATTTAAATGCCAATAAAAAATCAACGCGAACAGCTACGAGACGAGACACAAACCCAACTGCAGTTAACAGTTGTTTGTTGTTGTTGCTGTTGTTGTTGTTGCTGCTTATTTTGTTTTTACGCATGTTTAATGGACTAATTTTGTATAGGTTGTATAGGCAGTAAGCTGTCTTGCTTTCTCTTTCACACGCAGTGACAGCGTGTGAGTTCGTTGCTTAAGTCTTTCGTTTGCTGTTCCTGCTGCTGCTGCTGCTGATGTAGCTGGCGCCAGGGCAGACCTTCGGACGGACAGCGTTACATATATTTTCATAGTTTGTTGTTGTTGATGCGTGCGCCCGATAAAAAACGATAATGTGCCTCGGCCAGCGACACAGACAGAGACAAAGAGTGAGAGCGAGAGGGAGAGGGAGAGTGAGAGAGTAGAAGTTGTTTTGTGGCATCTCCAATAACCCACACAAACAACTGGCTGCTGCCTGATTATGTTTTTAGTGCGTTAAGTGATAATGATGATGCGCCTTGATTGTTATCAGCCAAAGCGTTCACTCAGCTCTGCAATCAAGACGCCAGCTAGTCAGAAAAATGATAATTAAATGCATATTCGCATGTGTGTGTGTGTGTGTGTGTCGGAGTGTGCTGCGTTATGTTCCTGGAATTATTATGACATTTGAGAACTTTCACGCTGCTTTTTATGGCTTTTGGCGACAGAAACGTGCGCTGAGATTGATGCGCCAGCAAATTCCCAGGAATACAGTTTATAAATTTATTGATCAATTTGTGGCAATGTGTGGAAGCTGCACGCAGCGGGTGGTTCAGTGGGTGTGGTTGGTCAAGGGGGGGCTGTATTCTGTATTAAACTAGCATTTAAAAATTTTGCTGCAACTTACCAGTCTTCGCTTTGGCTTGATCAGCGGTCGATTCTGTCCGTTCATTTTGTAGTACAGGCCACAGGCATTGCACAGATAATGTCCAGTGCCGTCGCGTCGCCACAGCGGCGTGGAGGTGGCGCCACAGTTCACACACTCGCGACCCTCTGTAAATACACAAAAAACAATGTTTGTTAAGACTCAAATATAATATGTGGTTAAATTTGGCTAAAATTAGAGTTTAGTCTGCAGTGCAGGCAGCAGGCAGCTTGTTGGGCAACAATAACAACAACAACAACAACAACAACAAGAGCAATACAAAGTAGCTGCGGCAACAACAACTCGCTGCGGCACACATTTTTCAGCTGTTTCTCAGTCTTGTTTTTTGCTCTAAGTTAACAAATTTTTTGTAGCTGCTTTTTTCTCTTTGTTGTTTGTTTTTTTTTTTCATTTCTTATTCGCTGGCATAAAACGCATGGAAGCGGAAATGATGGATTCGCTGGCACTGGGCGCTGCAGCGCTGCCTTCCTTGCTGACTCCACACATTTTAATTAAGCAGCGGCCGGTTCTAGTGGCTGCAATCGGCCCCGACTAGCCCCTGCCTTGGCACTAACTGTTTCGCGGCAAACGCAACTCATTTGAATAACTTTAGGCATAATTTGTAAGCGACTTGACTTGACTTGGCTTTGAAAATGAAGTTGCAAATGTAACGCGTTATTAACGTTCGTATATTACAGTTGCCTTTGTCTTTGTATGGCATATTCTGCTCTCGCATTTAATGACGCCACTAAATGGGCTTCATTATATCGTTTGTCTGTCTGTTTGTTGGTTTGCTTGTTTGTTTGTTTGCTTGCTGGCTCGTTCGTTTCAAATTGAAATTTAGTCATAAAAAAACAAATGAGGAAAAAAGAGGAAAACTTGCGGCGCGTTCTGGCTAAAACAGATTTAACGCTACCCACCCAAAAATGAGGCCAAATTGGACTCACATATTTTTGGTGCATTGTAATTAATTAACGTTTGCGCTTTACATGCTCGCATAGGCATAACTTTCATTCCTTTTGGCATGCTGGTTTTTTATTGAATATTAGCTGGTCACACCCAGTGGCTAGCGGCGGCTCATTAAGTGCGTTGTCAACTCGTTGCCTGCCCAAATGCCATTAGAAACATTTTGATGACAGTTTTTCTGTTTTGGCTTTTTAAGAGCCTTACGTGATTTGCTGCTGTTTATACGCGCTTCGACTGCTAGAACCAACGCTCAAGCCCTGCCCCCCTCCTACCAGAGCCTGGCTGCGCAGCAGGACAATCACACGTGTGTCCTGTGTCCCGCTGGCATGCCAAGCATTTTGTTTTTGAGCTTTCAAAGAAATTAAATTAAACGTTCTGCGTGTTTCGTATCCCCCCCCTCGAGACAGCCTTGCGCATTGTCCACTCTAAAGCTGAGCCAGCGCCACCCGCAGCCACCCCGCCCACGCACTCGCCAGGGGCGCGTTAAATAAACAGTTCATTTGTTTTCATTTAATCGCAACTTTACCTTGCTTTTTTTTAGATATATATATGTATATATATTTATATCTGTATATATATTTATCTTTTTTTAGCGCGTGTACTTGATATTTTTTGTGCGTTTCGTTTCGTTTCGTTTTCTTTTTTTTCTTCTTTTCTTGCTGATTTTTGTACGACTTTTTTAATTGCCGCACATTTGGCGCTGGGCGTTATTTGCTTTTCAGTTTCAGTTTTTCTTTATCGTTGAGGCGGGGCAGGGGGAATGCGTAACAAAGGCCCCAAGCCAAATTGCCGCCAATCAAAAAAGTAACACCCACTGTATAAAAATTGCATAAATTATTTGAAAGCCGCTGAAATCGTTTACAGTTATTTGTTTGACTTGACTTTGTTTTTATTTATTTTTTTAGCGTTCTACAAATAGCTTTTAATATTCGCTGTGACAACTTTTATTGAGTTGCTAAAGTTGCAGATCGTGTAGTTGGTTGAGCACTTTATTTGCACAGGTTTCGCATTGAAAGATGGTTTTTTGTTTGTTATTTCTTATTATCACAGTTTATCAAATTGAAGCTGAGATCTTTCGCCATATACCTTTATTTCTTTTCATCAACAGATCAGAGATGTAGACTCTTTAAAATTGCCTAATTCGCTTAGCTTTCATTTGCATTTATTTTTCTGTTAATCAATTCCTTAAATTCCTATTCATTGGGCAATTGCTACTTCTACAAATTCTTTAAAAAATCGTTAAAATTCTCAGTTTCCAATACGATTGGAGCAAATCTTTTGTGTTAATCTTATATCTTTTATCAATTTGTAAAAAATAGACTTATATATCGTGTTGGGCATTTCATATCCAATTGAAATATATAAGGTTTTCTGAATATATCTTCTTGATATCATATCTCTAATTGAAGCAAATGTCATAGTTCCAGAGTCTTGGTTAAATTCTTTTGGCTTCAATTTGAATGTTCCTTCATCTTGTTGAGAAATTTATTTTGTTAACTTTTCTATATCTTCCATTTCGCTTTTAAGAACATATAACTGCATTAACTCGGATAGCTCGAAATATATATTTAAATCTTTTTAATGTATTCAGCATTTTCAAGGGTTTGCCTCCATAGCTCTTCATAACTCTAGTATTTTGTATCTTGTGGTGTCCTTAATATCATCTAGATCTCTCAACATGCTGTCGAACGTGGCCTAAGGATTACTTTATTGCAATTAATACGTTTTTAGGCAATTTTAGCTTTTAACTGTCTTATTAAAACTTTTTAAAGCAAGTTGTGAAACATAATTGTAGAATCTGGAGTTCATTTAAACTACCTGCATACTTGACTGCCTGAGATCAAACTACATTTTCTGTAGATCTATAAAGGTGCATAACCTGTCCTTTGATATCATCTTGATTTAGTATTCCACCTCAATTTCGACTGATTTGACTATTGCCTGATGTCCTTTACCCGTTCAACAGTCGCACACAGTAGCCGTTGAGTGCGGAAAACTTTATGCATTTATTGGCTGTTATAAATCCGAATACAGGTCGAGTGTTTTGCTGGGCTGCCACATTCAGCCCATATTAAGCCATAAAGTGTGGCTTTGTGGCATTGTGAGTGGCTGCTGCTGCTGCTGCTGCTGTTGCTGTGGTTGTTCTTTTTGTTGTTGTTGCTTTTGTTCTAGCACAATTCCAATGAAGTTCGCTGTGGTTTCTCTGTTGCTGCTGCTCCAAGCCACTCGCCAGTTAATAAATCAAATGTGTTAATGATGTTTTTACCCAGTGTGCCCACTTTTGACAACAAAGGCAGCACAAGAGGGCCAACAACGACGGCGACAACTACAGCCCCTGCGAGAAGTATTCGTATCCGTAATATGAATCCCACAAAGCGCTATATGGCATACACGGCGCACGCGCACAGCCTCTCTTTCACTCTCTCTTTCTTTCCCTCTTTCTCTGACTCTCGCTCTGTGTACGCCTCTCTGTCTCACTCCAGTGCTGGCCTCTTTTGTTTTAGTACATTTTTATTTGATTCTCTGGGGCTGATCTGTAGAGGATCCTTGTATTCCGCTCTCTTTCACTCGCGCTCGCCCTTGCTCTTTCGCCGTGTGTGTGTTTTTTATGGCCATTAAATTATTTGGGTTCTTTCTTGTTGTTATTGTTTTCCAGCTTTGTTTTGATTTCAATTTGCCTGTCGCCGGGCTGCTGTCTGCTGCATGCCCCCGCCCATGCCTTTGACAGTTTTTCACAATTTTATTTATTTTCATTTTCATTTTCCACACAACAACACGTAGCAGGTTGGCCAGATTCTCAGTTAACCTATGATTTAGTAGCATGTTATAACTGTTTCTCTTGTGGTCCAGCCACAGTATGAGTCGGAGCCGGAGCCGGAGCCACAGCCACATCCACATGGGCACAATCATCCACAGCATTGCGTTGTAATTTCTTGGAAATTTGTGCACACTTTGGTATTTCGTTTTCGTGTGCTCTTCTTTGGGTTTGGGTTGAATTTTTTTTATATTTTGGTTTTACGGCCACGGGTTCGTGTGACATTGTCTGGGCATGGGCCTGAACCCGAAACGTAGCCCAAGAGACACCGGAGAGCATCGGCTGAACCTGTTTTTAGGGCCTGATTTGGCATTAAGAAGGTCTTGGGCATGTGTCCGAGTTTAAAGGTCTAACTAACTGTGCTCGCTGCTTGATTTGACATTTGGCGTCAGTGGCCATAATTGTCTAGAATTTATGTCTTGTACCTTTTCAGGAGAAGAAAAATTCCGTTTAATTTGTTAGTCGCAGTCGTGGGCAGGCCCAATGCGAAGGGTCAACTGCAGTTTTAATTAGTTGCCGTTGTTTGTTGTTGTTGTTTGTTTGTTGATATTAATAAACATTTATACTAGTTAAAGGTTACTTAGAGATACATAGATATATAGATAGATGGTTACAGCAATAGAGAGAGAGAGAGAGTGTGAGAGAGAGAGAGAGGTATATATATATATATAGATATACATATATATAGATAGAGAGAGAGACGTTTACTGGTGAACAAGACAAAAGACACATGTGGATGTGTGAGTAAATAGTTGTTGTTGAATTTGATATATATTTTTCTTTTTGCTTTAATGAAAATGAAAATGCTTAAGAAAGTCACAAACACAAGGAAAATAACGTTTAAAATACAATAAAATCGAAAATAAAATGCAAGCTGAAGCTGAATAAAATGTATGCGCTTAGTATGAATAATTTACACAGGATAGCAGGAGAGCAGGAGAGCGGACAGGAGAGAGCTTGATTCAACTGGGAGTTCGTAGGCCTTCGCTGGCTGGCATGGCCGGTTAACGCCTGTGGCCATGCCACGCATGCCTCAAATAAGCGGCAAGCGCCTCATTTTAAGGCCACAGCTGTCAAGGCGCTGGGACAAAGGAACAATGGACGCGCGCACAAGAAGCTCATCCCCGCTGTTAAGCTGTAGCTGTGACTGCGACTGCGCCTGCCGATGGACATGCGGACGCACAGACCCACAGACCCACAGACCCACGGACAGCACGGCTGATTGAGTGAAGGCTGCGCGTACCATAGAGGTCTGACCATGGACTCGTACCCATATCAATTACTTAAAGCTCATTCACAACATTTTTTATTTTCACCTGACAAAAGCCCAAATGGCATCCAATCAATTTGGCCAAGCGCTGGCCAAGCATAAATCCACCGTCCAGTCAACTGCACAGTGGACTCGACTGAGACTTGGGGAATGCGCGACTGGCGACTGCCATTGATTTTTGGGGGGGGCAGTGGCAACAAGAGCCAAGAGCACCCAACACATGTTCTTGCGCCCCGAAAAAACTTATCGCAAGCGATGCGATAAACGATAAATAAATACAAAAACAACAAACGGACAGACAGACAGTGGACAGTGGACAGTGGAACGTCGGATCCTTGGCTAACGAACGCGCCCGCAGCCACAACAATAATGTCGCAGACAACTTTTTGGTTAGTTAAACAGCAACAACAACAGCAGAAAGAAAAAAAAACTGTCGAGCAAATGAAATAATATGAAGCGCAGGCAAAACATTTTGTCAGCCCGCAGCTTCCTACATTGCAGATGCAGATGCAGATACAGCTACAGATACAGATACAGCTACAAAGGCTGAGATACAGATACAAAGACGTGGGCTACTTAGTTCACATGGCAACTTTTTGCTTCCTCATTTGACTTTTGACTGTTAAATGTGCGAGTGCTTAACAGCAAGCTGAACATAAACATTTCTGTTACTCTCTTTTAACAGTCTGTCACTTAACAGCTGGCTGTAAGCTAAGCCGGCTGTTAAGTTGCTTCATATAAAACTTGGCTGCCTTTGCGAGGGGTTGCAACTGCAACTGCCGCAGCGACCCTCAACCCGCAACCTCTCACGCATTACCGAGCGGCTATAAAGTTGTCGTTGTTGTTGTTTTTGCTGCTATTGTTGTTGTTGTGGTTGTTGCTGGCAGCGACATGCGAAACCGGCTGAGACGGCGACTGCGAAGCAGGTGCAGCGACAAACTTCCGCAGCGAATGCTAGCGTGTATTTGTGTGCGTGTGTGTGTGGCAGCAGCAGCAACATGAAGTAATTAACAACTACAACACAAAACAACAAAAACAACAACATTAACAACCAGCTGATGACGCAGCGCAGCACAGCTAAAGCGTTGACAATAGCATTGAAGTTTTTGCAGCAGCGGCAACTGCAGTTCACTCTCTGCTGCTGCCGTTTCTTCTTCTTCTTCTTCTTCTTCGTTGTTGTTGCCATTGTGCCTATTTCATGGTGAGCGCACGCGGCGTATACGCAATGCTACAAAACTGCCGGGCAAACAGGGGGGCGTGTGTAAATCTGAATCTGCCTGACTGCATACATATTTTAAGAGTGGAGCAGGAAACATGCCCAAGTGGCGGGAATTTGGACAGAGCTAAGAGAGAGAGAGAGGGAAGGAGATTGGAAGGGATAGTGGGAGAGGCAGAGAGGAAGCACACACACATGTCAAGTGCCGCTGAAAATGTTGAAGAGTGGTGCCACAAAGTGCAGTTAAGTGAGCGAGCTTCCCACGTGTGTGTGTGTGTGTGCGAGCGTGTGAAACAAATGAAAATCAAAAGCCAAAAAGAAAATAAAACATATGAAGAACTTAGGCTACAAAGTAAAAGAATAGAACTAAACTAGAAACTAAAATCGATAAGTGTTTGCATACAACACAGATCTAATTATAATTAAGCAAATCGTTTATCGATCAACAATATTTTCTATCGTTCATCGATCGAACAATTAACAATTATTTATCACCCACACCAATATCGCAACAGTGTTTGAAACTTTTGTCTTGCTTACCAGCACTGGTCCGGGGCTTTGTGCGCACGGGCTTCACATCGAGTCCGACGCCGCCAGCGCCACCACCACTGGAGCTGCTGTGACCGCCGCTGCTCATGGCGCTGCCCATGCCGCTCATGCCAATGCCACCGCCCCCGCCGCTGCCGCTGCCACCGCCGCTGCCATGCAGCCCCGCAATGCCGCTGCCGGACGCGGAGCCGGACGCACCGTGATGATGACTATGACTGTGATGGTGATGATGGTGCGCCGCCGCCGCCGCTGCGGCACCCATGCTATGCCGCACAGCGGCCGCTGCCACGGAGGAACTTTGGAACATGTTGGCTGCGGCAACAGCCGCCTGATGCTGCGCCGCCGCATGGTGATACGAGGCATAGCTGCTGTCGTAGCTGTTGGCATTGTTTGCCACGTAATGCGCCTGGGCGGTGCCATCGAAAAGACCGTTCGACGTCGAGGCGGAGGCGGATGAGGAGGCATTGCTGTTGTTGCTTTGCTGCTGCTGCTGCTGTTGCTGCTGCTGCTGCTGCGGCGCTTGGTTGCCGCCGCTGCTGCCGTTGCTGCTGCTATTTGAGCTATTTGTATTATTGTTGTTGTTGTTAGTACTACCTTCGCGCTGCTTGGGCGCAGACGATTGCGCCGGTCCAGCGCTGGCCGCATGCGCTGCAGCTGCGCCGCCATTCTGTATGGAGGGCTTGATGTCCAGCGCACAGCTGGCGTCCGTCAGTGAGGTAGAGCCCGTGGCCTGCTGATGCATGAAGGCGTTCATCACGGCCTGTAACGGTATCAATCGCAAAATTGAAGTGGATAAGCAATGAGAGAGAGAGGGGGAGAGCGCGGGCAGGGGGTCGGCTTACCTGGTACTCGGACGGGCCGGTTTGTACTGAGTCGGGCGTGGAGTCCTTTGGCGGTGTCGGTGGGAATGGAAACGAATGCTGGCCGGCCGCCGTCGTCTGGTGGCTTTGGCCCACCTGGCCCAGTTTGTGCTCCACCTGCGGCTCCTGGGGGCAGGCGAACTGACCCATGCCCCAAGCGCTGGCGGGTGCAAACGATTTGTGTTCGCTGGTTAGCCAGGGACTGAGCGGCGGATGAAAGTGCGGCCGGCACACTTGGGACGTGGCATGTGAGGAGGGCATGCGGGATGCTAAAGGAAAAGTAAACGAAAAAAGAGCAAAATACAAGGATAAGAATTTAATAAAACGCGTTAAAAAATCAAGTTAAATGCAGCATTAAATCAATTATGGCCAAAATTTATAACGAAGATTAACAGCCTAAGCCGAGATGAGAATCAAGAGGCAGAGTGACTGAGGTAGAGAGGGCAGGGCAGGGGGCAGAGAGCTCAAGACAGAGACCAGAAGCGATAAAAAATTCATAATAAATGACGTTGTTCTCTTTTTTCGAGGCGGAAAAGCTGCGTTATAATTTATGAAACACCAGCAACAGTTGCTGCTGCCGCAGCCCCTGCTGCTGCTGCTGCTGCTGCCGTGGCAGGCAGTAAGGCACTCGGACCACGGACGCTCGCGGCCTTAGCGCAGACTGACTTTGCATATGGCCAAGACTGCGGCTGCGGCTGCTGCTGCTGCATTGTCATAAATTGTTTAATTTGTATCATAAACAATCGCGTTAAACTTTTGTCCCAAAGCTAAAAAGATCGATCAGCAGCGGGCTTCGAGTGCGCCGCCGCCGCCGCTGCCGCCGTTGCTGCTGCCCTCAAACCCAGAAAGCCGGGCTTTGGCTAAAAGTGTAGCCTAAATGTCTGGCAGTGTATAATTTAGCGGACACCAAGTGAGATTTATGTGCGCCAATGCTGCCGTTTTCATAGCGCTGCAACGCATCGTTGCAACGTGCCACGCCATCTCATATACATGCATACATATATCCTGCAATTGTTTGCGGCAGTGGCAGTGAGGTGTGGGCAGCGGGGCAAGGCTGGGGAGCTGCTTGCTCTGCGCACTTATTCTTATTATTATCATTAATATTGGTGCCCCGGCTGCAGCTCCAAACAGCTCTGTGTTAGCTTTGGGGCTTGTTTGTATGTGAAATTATTTTTGATTATGCAGCAGCCGCTGTCGAACGCTGACGCCAAAGTCGACTCCGACTTTAACTCCAGCTCCAACTTCGACTTCGACTCCGACTCCGTTTGCCATGTTGCCACGAAAAGCCCCGCTTGGATTGTCTGTCTAACAGTAGGTCAGTCAGTTCAATGCTCGCCGAGATGGATTACTTTGCGGCCCAAGCAATAATCTGAGCAGACGGGCAAATAAAGCTATCAACAGCTAGCCGAATCGTAGATGCTCTATCGCACAGGCTGCTCAAAAAGCTGCTGAAATGCATAAATTGACTCAAGGCAAGCTCTAAATGCGCTGAAGTCGAAATTTCAAAAAGTAAGAGTCTATTGTAATCATTCGATTATTTTTGTTTTTAAAGTATTTTAGTATATTATGTGTATGAGCTACACTGGGAGAAATAGCCCAGGATAACGCGCTCAAATAAAGTACGAAAATTTGAAAAAATTCAGTAAAAATTATATTTTTGAACTCGAATTGTATTTAACAATTTTTTTTCTTAATTTAAAAATTCCTTAATCCAAGATTCAAGACAATGCTCAATCTGAAAATAATGTCCGCTTATTTTGAGCATGCAAATGCTTGTAAAAAGTATTTTGAACTTAAACCAAGCCTTTATGCCGTTTATTCTGACAATTAAATATGATTCATAATTTATTTAAAAATATGTTCAAGAACGAAATGTAATTGAAAGCAAATCTGAATGCATTTAAGTCCAGTCAAATTTAAAATTAGCAGCGCATTTTTCGCCGAGTGTACAAAACTCTGTTGGCTTCTCTTTCCCAAGGGTATTCGGATCTTGCCACTGCCTGCTGCCTGCTGTCTGTTGTTGCACTGTTGCGGATCGATCGCTGCCTGCGATAATATCCATTTGATTATCCTAATAACAGTGCTTTAGCAGCGATATTATATGTACGTGTGTCTGATTATAGAAATTATGCACAGCAGCCCGACGCAGGCGCAGGCGCAGAGTCTTTGGTCCCGGTTGCTGCTGTCTGTTGTGAGATAGTTTTGTGGCACAGTGCAATGCCTCAATTGTTGCGGCTTGTTACCATCCAGCCACAGCCACAGAGAAAACTTCACACTTTGGCAGCAGAGACAATTGCTGCGACGTGCCACCAAAAAGTGCAGCTGCCACAGCCACACATACATGCATGCAGTATGAAGAAGTTATATTCTATATGAAGTCGTCATCGACTGGCGCTGTGTATATAATTTTGGGTGCCCAAATAAGCGCATTGGATATGCCAAATTATATGTGAGGAGGCATCGCTTTCAGTGAGCCTTCACTTGCCACAAATCAATGGCAATGCGAACTTTAATTGCGGCCAATGAAAACTTTCAATTTGCGATCGTGTTGCCGATAACAGAGCGCTGTTAAGGCTGCTGTTAAGCGCCGATGAGTCACTGTTAACTGTTGTTGCATTTGCGGCTGCTGTTGTTCAAGGCTGTTGGCATATTCTATTTTTTTTTAGTATAAAACCGACTTTAATATATTTTAAAATTCCTTTAATCTTAATTTAAAGATAACAGTGGGCTGTTAAGACTGTTAAGATGAGTCACTGTTAACTGTTGTTGTTGCTGTTGCGGCTGCTGTTGTTAAAGGCTGTTGGCATCTTTTTTTTTTGTATAAAACAATTCGCTAATAAATCAAGCTGAGTACAGCAATTAAAGTTGCAAAAACACACACACACACATGCAGCGACATTTTTTTGATATTGTGGCTGCTGCTGCTGCTGCTGTTGTTGTCATTGTCGGTATGCAAAGCTCGTGCTGGTGAAAAGCGGCGACGTCGTCGTCGTGCCCTTGGCCGTCCCCCAAAGCCAAAAGCCTGGCTGACACGTTCTACACAACAGCAACAACAGCAGCAACAACAGCAATAAACAAAGCGCTACAATAAAATCTGCCTTTAATTTTTGTTGTAGCGCACCGCAAAAACAAAAAAGCCAAATAACAAAAAACATTTTGAAGTTTTTGGCCTGCGCTTGATTTCTTCAAACTGACAGATCAAAGCCACAAAGCCGACTCGTATGTGTGTGTGTGTGTGTGTGTGTGTGTGTGTGTAAGAGACACTCCATAAAGCGACGCTTAGACATGTGTGTGGCGTTTTAAAAGCGTTTGACAAGCGCTCAACTCGAACTCAACTCGAGCTGAAGTCAACTTAAAGCCAAGTCTCAACTCAGCGCCTGTACGTCTAAGCCGTGTCTGCCTCAGAAACTAAACAGAAAAGCGTACCGAAAGCGCCTTTTAATTGCAGTCTCAAATTGTTGCTGTTGTTGTTGTTATGGCCAGTCGCCAACGTGAATGACATAATTAATTGTATGCACAGCCAGCCGAGCACTTAGCTCGACGTGTTTGACATTTGAAGATGACAATCCCTGACAGAGCGACAGGAGCTGCAGGCAGTCAGGCAGCAGCAGCAGCAGCAGGTGATGGGGCAGTGTCGGGCCTATGGCCAATTCAATTAACCAAAATGCAGCTAAAAAGAAAAACAGGCAGCTGGCAATAGCTATGGCGCCTTATCACTGGCAGCACATCGCATTTGAATGATCAGCAACAAAAGGCCCGAACTGAAACCTCAGCCTCAGAGTGACAACACTCGATTCATTGTGTGTGCTGTGTGTGAACATCTTGATAAGCAGGCTGGGATGCTATTAGAGCGCGGCCATTGGGTAAATGTAACAGCTTTTCGCAAAAAAGGATTGCCAGCTCTTTGCTAGATTAAATTCACACCAACCGGCGGATTAGGGGTGAGAAAAAGAGCGAGAGTGAGATATGGAGAGGGAGAGGGAGAGAGCGTGTCGGCAGCTCGTCTTATCGCAGTCAGCAAATCAAATCGCCAAATGAGTGCGCGGCGACTAAAATGTAACGTATGTCAGTCAGTCAGTCAGTCAGCCAGTCAGTCAGTCAGTCATTCAGTCAGTTAGATCGGCTCAGTCACTCACTACGTCAATTTGGGAAATGCGTCGCCTGCTTCAGCTGCTTCCGCCTGGCATTAAGCCACAATCAATCATACAAAAGGCAGCCAGCGGCTGAGACAGTCGATCCAATGTCTTAGCCGTGGCTCAGTGAATCCTGCAATGACCCCTCGCAGTTGCCGCTGCTGCTGCAGGCGCTCGCTTAATTTATAACCTGAGCGACCCTCGATTGTGGCCAGGACATGAACAGAGACTTTTCACCTGCCTTGTTTGTAGGCGCGTGGCTCCAAAATGCGGTCAAGTGTCTCTGCGAGTCGAGCTGCTGCCTGCCTGCCTGCCTGCCACTTACACCTGCTCCAAATTGAAAAAACAAAAATAAAATGCAGCAAGCGGCGGCAATAAACTATAACGGATTCCAGTTTTAGCCACCACCATGTAGCCGTGTAGCCGTGTAGCCAGGTAGGTCAGTTAGAGGCCGCTGCCGCAAAAGACACCTTCAGCTGCTCAGGGAGCTGCCAGCTCTCCACCAGCTCTTGAGCTCACGAGCTGCTTAGCATTTTGCGCTCTTGTTGTTTGTTTTAATTATTTCTTTGGTTTCTTCTTATTTTTTTTTCCTTGTATTTTTTATTTTTCATATTTTGCTAGCTTGGCGCATATTGCAGCTCAGTTGCGTGCCAACAGCTTGACTGACTGACGGGCGGACTGACTGACTGGCTGACTGCTTGACTGACTGACAGGCTGGCGGCTGCTTTATTAAGCGCAAACTGCGCTGCCATTGCCATCTATATTATTAACACTTTATTTGCGGCTTGCTGCCGCTGCTGCCCCCCCAAACTACACGTCTGCCCCGCCCTCTGCCCTGCCACATTTCCGTCTTCAACGCTGCGCGCTGCTCCAGTTGCATGCCAGCTTATCATTAGTCATAAGTTGTCAATTCTATTTATGATAATGCGTTTAATAACTTAACCACAAATTCTCATCCAGCTCCTGCTGCCACGCAATTATGCCACTCATATGCGCATTGCACAACAACTCAACATACATAGCTCAGGTATTTTTTGTTGTTGAATATATTTGCATGGTTTCTCAAAATTTGAATTATTTTTTAAGTGTTTCATTTGTTATTAATTGCTTAATAATGAAAGACTCTTAAACCAAGA